AGCAGCGTGGAAATGCTATCTAGACTCATAATATACATCATGCACAATACATCACAGCCGTTTTCGTTCTTTTAAAAATTTAAAAGGAAGCTAAGTTCTATTTATAGAACAGTTTTTCCAGTTAGTATTTCCTAAGGAAGGCCATTAAATTTAGTGGCTGAATATGTTCGATACGTGTTTTTTGACTTTTATTTGCTGAAAATTTTGAATTTAGGTGTGATTTGCAAATATTACAGTTCCAGTTTATGGTGAGGTTGTATTTAGTTTATATACATTATATGGACCATGGGGAAAAAGAAAATGCAAAAGAAATAATTAGTTGAAATTTCTACCACTAGGTGAAAAAATGGCACATGAAGAATAAGAGAGAGACAAAATGAAAACATGCAAAAGGTTTTTAGTCACGACATTTGTTCAATGTGCAATCTATTTGTGTCAATCACATGTTAAAAGTGCCTTACAGTGTGCTCAACAGTAGCCCGATAGGTTTCTTGAGAAATTGCAGCAATATGGCGTGTTATGCATCTTTCAATTCAGGCAGAGTCTGTATGGTTGTGGGGATATCTGAAAGATTGTCTATAAAGGAGGCATACAAACTTTGCCCAAATTGAAGTAAGCATAACATGCCATATTGCTGCAATTTCTCAAGAACATGCTGTAAGGCACTTTTAACATGTGATTGACACAAATAGATTGCACATTGAACAAATGCTGCGAATAAAAACCTTTTGCGTGTTTTCATTTTGTGTTTCTCTTGTTCTTCATGTGCCATTTTTTCACCTAGTGGTAGAAATTTCAACTAATTATTTCTTTTGCATTTTCCTTTTCCCCATGGTCCATATAATGTATATACCAAGTTTCATCAAAATACATCAAAGAGAACAGGCTCTATACAGAACTGAGTAGGGCAACTTTAATTATAACCACCCTGTATTTCAAGTGTCTTTAATATTACTCTTCAGTCATTAATCTCTATAAAAATACAAATTTATACTATTACAACCATTTACTATTTTCCTTCAATAATTTATTAATCTTGACACAGTTGCATTTACTCCTTATTTCAATAACATCTCATAAACAGAAGTTAAGATCCATAAAGCAGCTATCACAGTTTAATTAAATTAAAATTGCCAATAAAAACCATAAATTCCTGTATTATTCATAACGTTAATAATATTATATTAAGCAATATATTGATCTTAAAAAAATTACATCTGTCCTTTCCAACAATATTTATTATAGACAGAAGGATTTTTAAATCCACAGTTAGCTATGTTTTTCAAAGATTCCCAGATGATAAAAGTTTTTACTGCTATAGAACAAACTGAATAATTCCATAATTAAATTAATCTTTTATAATTAAAATTAAACCTTTAAAGCTTAAAAACATTTAAAAACCTTAAAAAGTTTTTTAGAAAAATCTCAAAAATTTTTAAAAATATATATATAACAATAATATCAAATCATATTTAAATCAATGTTCATTTTTTCCATTAATAATAATAATTTATTTATAACATAAAAAATGAAAATGATAAAAATAAACTAATAAATACTCATATTAAATTAGAAATTATTCAATAATAAATTTAAAATAAAATGTAATATTAAATTTTTCTTAATTACAGTTTTCAGATTTTATTAAATTTTACTTATTAGCATTTATACAATTTCATAGAAAATTTCACACTTCATGAATTAAAACAAAAGTTCAAAATTACACATTAATTATCTACTTACAAAATATACATGATAACTCCTAATGACCACATGTCACAAGATTTGTCATATTTTTCTGGACCTAAAACTTCTGGAGCTGTAAATTTATATAAAGTATATAAAATAAATATGTTATCTTTTAATAAATTATTTATTTTTAAATAAATAATTATAAAAATAAGTAACATACCAACATAGTATGGAGTATAACAAGGCGTTTGAAGGGAGTGAAAATTTGTAGTTTCTTTTGCAAAACCAAAATCTGTAAGTTTTAGTACAGCAGTTTTATCAGGTGTTGAATATAGTAAATTTTCTGGCTAAAATTTTAATAAATATAAATTTTTAATTATATTTTTAAAAATTTCAAAAATAACTATTATTATTTATATTCATTTTATACAATTAAATTGTAATAATTATAATACACATACAGATTTTCCACTACTTCTATAAAAAAAACTATTAATTAGTTGAATTATATAATAGTCAGTCAGTCAAATTCCAATATAACAGATTTCATAATAATAAAAATTTTTTAAAAAGAAAGAATTTTCTTGCATTGGACAAATTTATTTCATAAACTGTGTAAAACAAATTTCATTTTAGCAAGATTAATAATCCAGTATAATGAATATTATTTTACCATCAAAATATTATTGAAGTGAAAATTATTTACTTCAATAAGATTTATCTTCATTTTTTGATATCAAAAAAATGGATTGGATCAAGCTTGGGAAAAGCCTACAACTATAAAGAATGGAAAAGAACTGTCTGTTAACTGCAACCCTCTGAAAAGAGGATGTCATGTGAATGAAATGAAAATTTATCTATGTTTGGCTCATTTCAAGCTTAATGACAAATTGGTACATGGAGTGAATGTAAAGGGAGTGGAGTAAAGGAATAGTGAAAGGAACTTGCAGTAAAGGAAAATACTGCTGCCTGTATTTTTATTATTATTGCAATTTATTTTAATTATAACAAAGTTAATTAATTTTGTGTTTACACTATCATTATGTTGAGCAAAACGAAAAAAAATTTAAATTACATCAGATTACATCAAAAGAGAAATGAACAATTTTGGAAAAAAAGAAGGAAAGCAGTGTTCCAAGAGAATTTGATATCACTCCTTTCGCCTTACCAACAATTTTAATTGAGTCAACTGATGAAAAAATTTCATTTATAAAAGCTTCAGATAAACTGAGAAAAATTTGCTTGTATTCATTCTTCTACTATTGATGTCCCAAAACTTATTTTTTAACAGTTAGTGTTAAAGTTTCATTTTTAATGGCACTACTGAAAATATGATACAATAAAAAATATATACTTCTTACTAAAAATAATAAAATATTGTAATGATTAACAGCATTTTATGATTATTTTCAAATAAAAAGTGTTTATACTTTTTATTTGAAAATAATACTTTACCATTATAACAAAATTAGCTGTATAGTCCCAAAAACCATGCTAAATCATTCCTGTAATGAACAGGAATGGATTTAGTATGATTGTACAGTGCAGTTGACCTCGCTCTGAGAATTAAATAATGAAATCATATAGTCGTATTTTAATTGTATAAAATTATTTAAATAGTTTTGCAATGCTTGAAACTCTAAATTTTTTATTTAAATCAATGAATTAGCCTTTATGGTATCTACTGTTTCTTTTATTTATTAAAAATCTTTGGTTTTTGAAATTTTTCTTATGTTAAAGGAATGATTCCCAAATTTGTGTGTGTTTGTTGAACTGTTCCAGCTTACAGGAGTTATAAATGATAAATTTAAAAAATTTTATGAAAAACAGAAATAATTCAAAAATGTTGTTTATGAAAGTCATAAAACTTAATAATTATTCTACAAAATATTCATATCAAATTTGGGAATCATTCCTTTAACATAAGAAAAATTTCAAAAACCAAAGATTTTCAATAAATAAAAGAAACAGTAGATACCATAAAGGCTAATTCATTGATTTAAATAAAAAATTTAGAGTTTCAAGCATTGCAAAACTATTTAAATAATTTTATACAATTAAAATACGACTATATGATTTCATTATTTAATTCTCAGAGCGAGGTCAACTGCACTGTACAATCATACTAAATCCATTCCTGTTCATTACAGGAATGATTTAGCATGGTTTTTGGGACTATACAGCTAATTTTGTTATAATGGTAAAGTATTATTTTCAAATAAAAAGTATAAACACTTTTTATTTGAAAATAATCATAAAATGCTGTTAATCATTACAATATTTTATTATTTTTAGTAAGAAGTATATATTTTTTATTGTATCATATTTTCAGTAGTGCCATTAAAAATGAAACTTTAACACTAACTGTTAAAAAATAAGTTTTGGGACATCAATAGTAGAAGAATGAATACAAGCAAATTTTTCTCAGTTTATCTGAAGCTTTTATAAATGAAATTTTTTCATCAGTTGACTCAATTAAAATTGTTGGTAAGGCGAAAGGAGTGATATCAAATTCTCTTGGAACACTGCTTTCCTTCTTTTTTTCCAAAATTGTTCATTTCTCTTTTGATGTAATCTGATGTAATTTAAATTTTTTTTCGTTTTGCTCAACATAATGATAGTGTAAACACAAAATTAATTAACTTTGTTATAATTAAAATAAATTGCAATAATAATAAAAATACAGGCAGCAGTATTTTCCTTTACTGCAAGTTCCTTTCACTATTCCTTTACTCCACTCCCTTTACATTCACTCCATGTACCAATTTGTCATTAAGCTTGAAATGAGCCAAACATAGATAAATTTTCATTTCATTCACATGACATCCTCTTTTCAGAGGGTTGCAGTTAACAGACAGTTCTTTTCCATTCTTTATAGTTGTAGGCTTTTCCCAAGCTTGATCCAATCCATTTTTTTGATATCAAAAAATGAAGATAAATCTTATTGAAGTAAATAATTTTCACTTCAATAATATTTTGATGGTAAAATAATATTCATTATACTGGATTATTAATCTTGCTAAAATGAAATTTGTTTTACACAGTTTATGAAATAAATTTGTCCAATGCAAGAAAATTCTTTCTTTTTAAAAAATTTTTATTATTATGAAATCTGTTATATTGGAATTTGACTGACTGACTATTATATAATTCAACTAATTAATAGTTTTTTTTATAGAAGTAGTGGAAAATCTGTATGTGTATTATAATTATTACAATTTAATTGTATAAAATGAATATAAATAATAATAGTTATTTTTGAAATTTTTAAAAATATAATTAAAAATTTATATTTATTAAAATTTTAGCCAGAAAATTTACTATATTCAACACCTGATAAAACTGCTGTACTAAAACTTACAGATTTTGGTTTTGCAAAAGAAACTACAAATTTTCACTCCCTTCAAACGCCTTGTTATACTCCATACTATGTTGGTATGTTACTTATTTTTATAATTATTTATTTAAAAATAAATAATTTATTAAAAGATAACATATTTATTTTATATACTTTATATAAATTTACAGCTCCAGAAGTTTTAGGTCCAGAAAAATATGACAAATCTTGTGACATGTGGTCATTAGGAGTTATCATGTATATTTTGTAAGTAGATAATTAATGTGTAATTTTGAACTTTTGTTTTAATTCATGAAGTGTGAAATTTTCTATGAAATTGTATAAATGCTAATAAGTAAAATTTAATAAAATCTGAAAACTGTAATTAAGAAAAATTTAATATTACATTTTATTTTAAATTTATTATTGAATAATTTCTAATTTAATATGAGTATTTATTAGTTTATTTTTATCATTTTCATTTTTTATGTTATAAATAAATTATTATTATTAATGGAAAAAATGAACATTGATTTAAATATGATTTGATATTATTGTTATATATATATTTTTAAAAATTTTTGAGATTTTTCTAAAAAACTTTTTAAGGTTTTTAAATGTTTTTAAGCTTTAAAGGTTTAATTTTAATTATAAAAGATTAATTTAATTATGGAATTATTCAGTTTGTTCTATAGCAGTAAAAACTTTTATCATCTGGGAATCTTTGAAAAACATAGCTAACTGTGGATTTAAAAATCCTTCTGTCTATAATAAATATTGTTGGAAAGGACAGATGTAATTTTTTTAAGATCAATATATTGCTTAATATAATATTATTAACGTTATGAATAATACAGGAATTTATGGTTTTTATTGGCAATTTTAATTTAATTAAACTGTGATAGCTGCTTTATGGATCTTAACTTCTGTTTATGAGATGTTATTGAAATAAGGAGTAAATGCAACTGTGTCAAGATTAATAAATTATTGAAGGAAAATAGTAAATGGTTGTAATAGTATAAATTTGTATTTTTATAGAGATTAATGACTGAAGAGTAATATTAAAGACACTTGAAATACAGGGTGGTTATAATTAAAGTTGCCCTACTCAGTTCTGTATAGAGCCTGTTCTCTTTGATGTATTTTGATGAAACTTGGTATATACATTATATGGACCATGGGGAAAAGGAAAATGCAAAAGAAATAATTAGTTGAAATTTCTACCACTAGGTGAAAAAATGGCACATGAAGAACAAGAGAAACACAAAATGAAAACACGCAAAAGGTTTTTATTCGCAGCATTTGTTCAATGTGCAATCTATTTGTGTCAATCACATGTTAAAAGTGCCTTACAGCATGTTCTTGAGAAATTGCAGCAATATGGCATGTTATGCTTACTTCAATTTGGGCAAAGTTTGTATGCCTCCTTTATAGACAATCTTTCAGATATCCCCACAACCATACAGACTCTGCCTGAATTGAAAGATGCATAACACGCCATATTGCTGCAATTTCTCAAGAAACCTATCGGGCTACTGTTGAGCACACTGTAAGGCACTTTTAACATGTGATTGACACAAATAGATTGCACATTGAACAAATGTCGTGACTAAAAACCTTTTGCATGTTTTCATTTTGTCTCTCTCTTATTCTTCATGTGCCATTTTTTCACCTAGTGGTAGAAATTTCAACTAATTATTTCTTTTGCATTTTCTTTTTCCCCATGGTCCATATAATGTATATAAACTAAATACAACCTCACCATAAACTGGAACTGTAATATTTGCAAATCACACCTAAATTCAAAATTTTCAGCAAATAAAAGTCAAAAAACACGTATCGAACATATTCAGCCACTAAATTTAATGGCCTTCCTTAGGAAATACTAACTGGAAAAACTGTTCTATAAATAGAACTTAGCTTCCTTTTAAATTTTTAAAAGAACGAAAACGGCTGTGATGTATTGTGCATGATGTATATTATGAGTCTAGATAGCATTTCCACGCTGCTGATACAGGAATGACATCTGTGTTGATGCAGTTTCCACTCATGCCCGCCTTGTAGATCTCTACTGCTTCTACAATTTTTATATTTTGCCTGTTGGAAACCTTGTGTATTAGCTTGGCCTGGTCCCAACAGGGGGAAATCCCTGGATCGCTGGCATACCATGCTAAAGCCGTACTGATGTTACCTTTCAGCACAAATATGACGTGCTAAAAGATCACAAATATGACGTGCTAAAAGGTAACATCAGTACAGCTTTAGCACAGTATGCCAGCGATTCGGGGATTTCCCCCTGTTGGGACCAGGCCAAGCTAATACACAAGGTTTTCGACAGGCAAAATATAAAAATTGTACAAGCAGTAGAGATCTACAAGGCGAGCATGAGTGGAAACTGCATCAACATGGATGTCATTCCTGTATCAGCAGCGTGGAAATGCTATCTAGACTCATAATATATGTCATACACGATACGTCACAGCCGTTTTCGTTTTTTTAAAAATTTTAAAAGGCAGCTAACTTCTATTTATAGAACGGTTTTTCCAGTTGATATTTCCTGAGGAAGGCCGATAAATTTAGTGGCTGAAAATGTTTGATATGTGTTTTTGACTTTTATTTGCTGGAAATTTTGAATTTAGGTGTGATTTGTGAATAATGTATATACCAAGTTTCATCAAAATACATCGCAAACAAACTCTATACAGATCTGAGTAAGGCAATTTTAATTATAACCACTCTGTATTTATCATTATCGTAAAATTTTTATAAAATCATTGCATCAGATCATGCATTGGTTCTGTCTTTTTATTTCAGGAGAAAAAAGATGACTATTATAGAATATTTAGGCTTATTGTTTATGTATACATACAATGATTTGTTAACAGAAAATGAAACAGAAAAAGCAATGTTTTAATGCTTGATATGGAAACTTCTAAGGTGCATATCAGTAATTATCTTGCTTTCAATTGGAGTTATGGGATATATGGTAATACAGATTATATGAATGTTTTATTTTCATTTTCATTCTTAAATTTTTTGAGGGATATATGCCATTGCAGGTTATGTCACTATGGGTTATCTGACTGAGATTTAAAATAGTTTATAATTTTTAATAAATTTTAAAATTTATGATTATATTTTATTTATATTCTTATTCAACAGATTATGTGGATTTCCTCCATTTTATAGTAATCATGGTTTAGCAATTTCTCCTGGAATGAAAAAACGCATAAGAGCAGGTCAATATGATTTTCCTGAACCTGAATGGACTAGAGTTTCTAAAGATGGTAAATATCATTGTGATCAATTGAGTTTTTTTATGTAGGTTAAAAATATTAAAGTATATGTATTTTAAACTTTGATATTATTATTTAAAGATCTAAATTTAAATAATTCTGAGAAAAAATTTTCTTGATGTTTTCATGAAATTTTTAGTTTAAAAATAATCAAAAGATATAGGAATATGAAATTTTTTTATAATTATGAATAAAATGTAAAATAAAATTGTTAAGAATTGAATATCAAAATATATTATCCATAATTTGAGATGGTTTTCTTTTAGTTTTGAAATTATACCAAAATATTATCTTATTACTAGCAGACCCCCGCCACGCGTGTTGTGGGTCAAAATGTATCTATTATAAATGTATAACACTTCCCCCGTGTGGGGGGGAATTTTTCGAAAAATTTATAATAGAATAATAGAAAAAGTATAATAGAAGCCAAGTACTTCAAGGTAAGCCTTAATCCTGTCTCTCTCCCCCACGGGGGGAATATTGAAAAATCCTTTTTTAGTGTATATTCTGTTGACATACCCTATTAAAACACAATCAAAAACGCAAAAAACCGCATCTAAAATAGTAGAAATAGAAGTACAATGCACAATTTTCAGTGCTTGCACCAGCAAACAAGAAGGCAGTCACCATTAAGCTTGTAAGAGCTCTATTTAGAGTTGACAATTTTGAATTTAATTTATTTGTTGATGAATAAATCCTGAATAAATTAATTAATAGAATATTTTAACATATTAGTATATTTACATAAGACATCACATAATTTGTTTTAGTTGTTAAAGTATAATGTTAGAATTGATTTAATTATTTAAAACTCTTACAGAAATTTAAAAAATCTTCATCCCTATTTCTCTTTTCGAAATATTCATTTTTCATTAAGCTGCTCTCATTAAATAAGTTTAAAAATAAATTTAGTGTAATGTGGAAGTCCACACCATTCGCCATTTTTATTGTTTTTTCTCTCCCGAAATTCCTGGCTGTCAGTGTTTGTGTTCTCTAGAAAATGCCAGCAGTTGCGTCACTTATGGCAGCATATCACTGGATGGATGCTGAGATTTTGAATACGCCCAATTCCATTGCTTTCCTTTCCTATTAGCTCTATCATGGGAAATGCCATGTTAAATGCTTAAATGTTTATTTATTCTTTACATTAGTCTTTTATATTCATTTTATATTAATTTCTAATTGTTTTTAGTATTAAACACTATATTTATTCTCTCTATAATATGTGTTTTTGGTATGTATTTTGGAGTGTCTAGAATGAATTAATTGGATTTACATTGATATATATTAACCAAAACTAGTTGTTAAATAAATGTTAAAATAAAACATTCTTCTGAGTGCAATAAAATGATAACATTGTAATTTGACTGACTTACAACCAGGAAGAGTTTTCATTTACAGGAGAATAAAGCAATTAGCAGCTTATTGACATTAATAGTAATTTGTTAGTGTGGGCTGACTAACTACTGTTAATGAAAGATAACATTTTCCTCTCAAATTTAACACAAAGGGGATGTTAATTTTTACAAGTTGAGATAATTTACAGGGAGTTTGTGAAATTTGATATGTTTATTTTTGCATTTTTGGATCAAATTACACCAAAGTAAACATTAAGAAAAGCACTTTTGGCATTCCACAAGTATTTGCATTGTTAGAAAGAAGACAAAATGCAGCAATTAAACATACAATCGTAGTTTTTGATATAATGCTAAACCAAACAATTGCCATAATTAATCAGGTTATTTGTTTGCTAAAATTAATAATTAGAAATTAAGTAATTTGGTACTAGAAGTATACATTAGGCACCATCTCTTATCAAAATTAATAATTATAATAATATAATATTTATTAAATAATTTAGAACAGTCTGGAAGAAAAGAATCAGTCTGGATTAGAAGTTGAACCTGCAACTTCCGTTTACTATGTAGTGTGGAGGTTATCCCACTCAGACCTCCATGTGATTCTTTATTTCAAGACATTTAAATTTTTATATAACCATTCACTGTTACTTATGGTGCTGACTGGGGATGACAGGCTCAAGCTGAATTCTGATAAAGTTCAACTCTTATTTCAAAATTTTCAATATCTTAAAACAGTTTTGAAATTTGCTTTCTTATTTCTAAGTGCTAAGCACTTCTATCAATCTAACATACTTCTCCAGTACTAACTTCTATGTAATACTTTCCATATTTCATGTTTCAGTACTTTGTTGTAGGCTTTATCTATGTCAATAAAATCCCAATGTAATTTTTGCTGTTTTGTTTTCTAAACTTTGCATGATCTGTTGAAGACATCAATAATTTGATTTTACTGTCATAAAGACAAATTGTCACTTGATATTAATACACTTAATCCTTGATATACAGCCATGATACATTCTAGAAAAGTTGGCTGTAAAGCAAAATGCTGTATAATGAATTCATTTATTTGCATACAAAACTATACAAATTCCACAATATCTACTCCAAATTAACAGAAAAATGTTGAAAATCAGAAATTTTTAGCTGAATGATTCTTTTTGTTATTTTATTTAAATAAATGCAGTAATTAATGGGACAGAGCAAAATAAATAAAAAATATATTAAAGAATTTAATACATACCAATGGTGTTTCTAAGTTTTGAAGCTGAAAAACAAGCAGAAAGAAACTATTTCACTCCAAGATTTATACCGTTTCTGGATATTTTTTAAACTACACTGTAAAATCACATGTGACAACATACATGAAAGGAACGTGTAAGTCAAATTACTATTTTTAAGTAATCACTTAATGTCATGTATTTGTCTGCAAGTAGTAATTCCAAATTCAAGCAGTCAAAGCTTAAACCAAAACTAACTTTATTAACATCTTGCAATGATGTTGCCAGTTTCATTATGTTAATCATATTTTTATTTTTTGTTCTATAATAAAATAATAAGCAATAAATAAAGAATGAAATAAAATACAGTGTAAACAATTATTTTGTGTTACATTTAATGTATCAGTAAATGGCACCTTATTTGCTATGTTTTGATAGTTGAATGTGTGGCAAATGCATGTGCCTGCATCAGTAATTACCAGTACTGTATTTTTTTTTGTTGTATATCCAAACTGTTTGGGCCTAAAATTGAAACCGAGCCATATAAAGAGGATCAAGTGTACTTATTTTGTTAGACTTGTCTAAAATTTTTTCCAATATTTTCATTGTATGGAATATCATCTTTATATATTTAATTTCTATAATCTTGTGTGTACATGTCTTTCTCTGTAGATTGTACTTGTATTCTGTTCATTTATCTAGTGTTTCTTTGTTTATACTTTTTACTGAATAAGTTTCATGATAGAATGTTTCATCATTTTAATGTCTAAAAGTGGCTAAAATATTACATTTTCCACTAAATCATGAAGTTGTGTCATTGAAAGATTTTCAGATAATTAATTCAGATCTCACATTATGTTTTTCTACAGTGATAGCTTATATTTTAGACTTTTTCAAAACCTTGTAATGTTTCAGAACTTGTAATATTTTAACTTAATTCTAATTTTTTTGAATTTTTAAAAATTTAGCTAAAGATCTCATTCAAGGCTTATTACGAACTGACCCAACTAAGAGATTATCTATTGAAGAAGTCTTAAATAACAAATGGATTGCTGTAAGTGTTAATTATATAAAATTTTCCTTAGATTGAATCGTATTGAAATAAACAAAATATTTTTTTTAATTATTGTTGAAATTATATGATTTATTTATTTACTGGTAGTAATATTTTTCTAATAATAAACAAATCAGTTATATTTATGTGACAACAATTATTTAGGAATATTATATATTCCTAAATAATATAAACAATAACATGTGTCTTTCTTTCTTTTGAAAAATTTTTTACTTAAAAATATTAATTGCACAAATTTAATATTAAAATAATAATTAATATTTTTACAAATTGTTGTTTTGAAAAATGATTGCACATCAATATTTCAAAATAAAAATTTGGAAATGGNGTTAGTAATTTGGCCTAGTGGTAGATTAGCCACCATCTCTAGGCCAGTTTACTTGGTGGGAGTTGTGGATTCTGATTCTTTTCTTCCAGAACATTCTAAACTAATTATTACAATATTAATTTAATTATTATTGTAATTCCAAAATTAATATTGCCCTTTTGTAATAACCAAATATTTTAAATTATAATTATCATTCATTATGTATTTATTAATGTGCATAGAGTATATAATTCTTAATATTAGTTCCTACTTCATTATTTCTGTTCTTTAAAATAAATTGTTTTAAACTTAGATTATTTAATGGCTAAATATTAAGTTATTAGATGACCAAGACAAAACCTTTCTCACTTAATAGGCCTTCTGTCAGTGTACCTGAAGAAGGCCTATTAAGAAGGCCGAAAACATTTGTACTCGTGTATAAACGGCTAGAAACAAGTGAGAAAGGTTTTGTCTTGGTCATCTTAAAATAGTTCTAGCTACAAATGCATAGAAATTAAGTCATTATATTTAGTATTATTGAAATATTTGGCATTCAGATAAATTATTATTATTTTTATTCCTGTGTTTATTAATAATACACTGTATAAATTATTGGTATATACAAAATTTGTATTATATCTATTGTTTTGAAATTTTATGTAAAAATTTAGGTTTTTGTATTTATCAAATATGAAATTTCTATGGCTGCGTTCAGCAGAGTCAACAGTCGAAACTGACAAAATGTGTTCCAATCGGTAGCTGTTACGTAGTTACATATACCGAACGATGAGTGACGTATGTGTTGGAGCAGGAAGCAGCCATCATTGGCCAGTTGCAGCTAGTGATAGATAATATAAATGAAAGATGCTACTAAATGTGATGTCAAAACACCAAACATGTTCTGAAACAGCACTACTGTAGAGGGCATTCAGCAAAAAAAATACTCATCAGCTCTGGAACTGTTGAGTCTGCTGAATGCAGCCATTGCCTTTATTTGGTTTTTGATCATAATCTGTTTCTTATTTCATAATTAATTTCTGAAAAGATATTTGGATGAAAGCCTGAAAACTTATATCAATATTTTTTAATATTAAAACATTAAAATAAGATTCAACATTGATTAAATGTATAATAAATGGGACAGAGTTGCAAAAAGTTCATCATCATACATAAGAGTGGAATTCAAGATATTGTGTATGTGGCATTAGTGATGTATGAATTTGTTATTATAAGTCTGCTTACTAATCATGTGAATAAACTATCAGTTAGAAAATATTTGCAGAACTTTTTAACTCATGGGCCCTTCTAACATTGAAGAAATAACTATTGTACAGTACAATACACATAACAAAAGTCCATCATTATACATAAGAGATGAAGGGTTCAAAAGTGACTCAAAAATGTGCATGCAATTAATGGACTGCCCTACATTTTCCTTATTTAGCGTAATTTATACTAAGTTTATATAAGGAAACATTTTAACGTTTCTTGTTAAAATTCAAAAATTTTTGCTTACTTCATTATTAGACTAGACTTCTATTTAAATTTAATTTCATCCAAAATTTAATTTTCAGTTTCAGTATTAAGAATTTTCTTATTAATATTTTTCTGAAATATTTATGTATTCAGTATGTATTAATTAATATGATTGAAACATATTTAGTTTATTAAATTATAAATCAATATAAAAAATTTTTTTTATAAATCAACTAAAATAAATTATATTTATTTATTCAAGTAACCACTTTAAAAAAAATTATTTTAGAAATATGCAGAAGTGCCTCAGACTCCATTACATTCTGTTCAAGTATTAAAAGAAGAAGAAGCGGCATGGCCAGAAGTTCAGGTACCATAAAATATGTATACTATTTTTGTTAGTGTCAAAAGTTAGTAATTTGGCCTAGTGGTAGATTAGCCACCATCTCTAGGCCAGTTTACTTGGTGGGAGTTGTGGATTCTGATTCTTTTCTTCCAGAACATTCTAAATTATTAAAATATTAATCTAATTATAATTATTAAATTTATCAAGACATAGCATCTAATGCAGGCATGGTCAACATATGGCCCATCTAATGAATTTATGTGGCCTGCGATCGTGATTAATCTTTCAATATTTAGCTACTGAAATCTGAATAGCTTGATGAAAAATTCTGATGCCAAAAAAAAAAGGGTCAACAACTCACTGTGCGTTTAGAGTTAACCCTCCATTACAGATCTCTTAAGTACAACATAGAATGTTGATAAAGCATGATAATGTAAAAAATGTATCTGTAATCTCTATGTAGTCTCTACGGGGTGACACCACAATGAGATCTCACACCAACTCAAAATTTTCCTAGGGCAGCCTCTGGTTCGGCCCGTGAAAAAAGTTTTCTTCCCAATTTGGCCCGGGGGAAAAAACTGTTGGCCACCCCTAACCTATTGTCTACTTCTAGGCCAAATGACTTGAAATTTAATTCATAATTAGTAGCATAGCATTAATATAGCCTGATATAATCCAGCAATTTGCATTATGATAATCTTTTAAACTTTATGATCATTATACAAGTTGAAATTATGTAAAATTCAAAATTGTAAATAATTTAGGAACTTAACATAAGGTTTTATATTCTCATTCTTAATTTCTAAATAAAGTTATATGATGAAAAACATTTACATTAGAGAAAATAGTTTATTTAAATTATCCTCACTGTAATTTTTTATTTTGTAGGAGGAAATGACAAGATCATTAGCCACCATGCGAGTCGATTACGATGCAGTACAACTGAAAAATTTAGAAAATTCCAATAATCCTCTTTTGAATAAGCGCAGAAGACAAGTAGCTCATCATCCAAGAAAATAAATTTAGCATGAAGTAGTAATTCCATAAAAGTTCATCTGTCAGATGTACAGAATTGCATATATATATGATATTTTGTTTGCAAGTTACAGATTTTCAAACTAAAAAAATCTTCATTTTTGAAATCTATTTAACAATAGTAAACAACAAATTCAATTTGTCAAATTATCCTCATGCCCATTTTTCAAAAATTACTAATAATTAAGTCTTTGAGAAATAGATATATATACACATATATATATATATATAAATGACCCTTACAGATATTAGTAAAACTATTGTATAATTATTCTATGAGAAGCATGTAATATCTATCTACTCATATTTAGACAAATTCATTATTACTCAAAAGGTGAACAATAAATGGTTTTGTGTACAGTTATATCAGAAATTTTAAGTTTACAAAACAAACTTAAATTGAAATTAAATACTTGCACAGTATTATTGATAAAAGTGTGTTCTTTAATGTGCTGAAGTTTCCTCCTGCACATGGGACCACTAATTTAAAAAGCATTTTTATCAAAATTATTAATCATGTGCACTATTAAAATTTATCATGTAAAAAAATAATTTAAAACTTTCCATATTTTTAACATCTACAAATTAGCAATTAGTCTAAATCAACAAGACATATATATGCATATGGGATTATCACACCAGTGAATGAGATTAATTAACATCTTAATAATAAAAATTTACAATAAACTGTGGCTCCTTTAACATGTACTGTACAGTACATAACATAGAATACTCAAAATGCATTTCGGACATAATATTCAGTCCCTCTTCAGCTGGTGTTCATACATATAAAATTATAAAAATAAATTATAAATACATTTAAAAGGCCATTGTAAACATGACGACTTCACAATCATCACAGATGATGTCTCATGAATGTAATAATTTCACAATCATCAGTTCTTTGCCANAAAAATCAAATGCAATAGTAAGAATAATAAATACAGACGATGTATAAACACTCTTTTGAAAAACATGATACAATTGTATAAATTGAAGACTTATTCTCTTAAGAATAAGTAAGAGGACAACAATATTTTTTTTTTGTATTATAGTGATTAATGTGTTCTGATTGTGGCAAATCTAATGCCATTACCACAAGTGCCACCTAAAAATTTTAATTTAATTTTTCTGAAAATAAGAATTGGTGCTATAGGTTGAAACTGCATGAAAACTTTACATAGAATAAAAAAAAATAACTTATGTAGATAATCTGAACAGTTATGGACCAACCTTCATACATGTAAAGGTTGTGATAAAAATTTTTTAGTATAGTCATAACATGTATGTACAGTGGTATTTTGAAAAATTGTACAAGTTATATGATCAAATATGACAATAGTGTTTTCGGTCTAGTGAACAATTAAAGATAATGTAAGATGTTTCTATGAAATGAAATGATGATCTGAAATTAAAAGTGGCCAGTGTGAGTATAATTTCTGGTATCAAGAGTGATTACTATTACTAATTAACTTTAAAAGGTTGTGTGTAATCTTGTTACAATTAGTAAGTTGTCCAAACGAGTGTGAAGTCTGTTCTAAAACAGAATGTATATGAATTTCAAATAATTCTTATAATCATTTCAGCTTGTACAAAAAGCAAATATAATATATCATTCTATTTTTTGGCGTATTTTCTTCTTTATTTTATTTACACAATATTACTGTATATGAAATGAAAATTACAATGAACATACATGGCAGAAAACAAATACAATATCAAACTGGATACTATAACCACAAAAAACCAATAACCATTACAATTCAGAATTTAATTCTTTGAAAAAAACAAACATTATTGGCTAATTTAATGTCTCCAAGTTCAAACTGTACACAATAACAAGATTATAAAATGTCAATTCAAAATAATTTGACCATAGTACACTTTCCATTTAAAACATGTTATATTACAAAAATTTTTTTGAAGCTATATGATACCTTTCCTGATGAAAAATGGAAATTGTATAACACCAAGTTTTGTAGAAACACTGATGCATTAAAATCTAAATATGGATATCTTATTCTACAAATTTTATACAAATAATTTTATGTAATTTTATAAATAATCTTTTATATCACTTGTCTATAATTAAATCAAATTATCATTGTTATTAGTACAATTTGTATTTTATAAATAAATTAATTAATTTAAAAATGCAAATTATTTTGAATTATTGAAGTTCATAAAGATAGAAGAAACACTAAAATAAAGTAAAAAAGTGTCATCTTATTTTGTCTTTTTTACATCTCAGAATCATAAATTGTTTAGTGGCATCAACCTTTGTTTTGAGGCTCTCATATCTCTCAATATGCAGAACCCATTAAAAAAATTCTTCTTGGCAACAACAGAATAAAAATATATTACTGTAAATCACTGCTGTAGACCTGGTCAGGACTGTGAAGGACTATTTCATTCAGGCGATCTGTGATGGTCATGGAGCAGATCCATTAGCAGTCAATACAGTATATGTAACTGGAAAGGATCATTCTCTGGGTTAAAAAAAATGGCAGATGAAGGAAATTGTGCATTTTTGTTCTCTCTTCTCAAAAGGTCTTTAAATGTAGACAGAGGTCAATTATAGTGATAATGATGAGCCAATAATCTTTTATTTTGAATATAAAAATAAAATTCTGAAAGTTGAGAGATATCAGAAGGTGTAATACCTCATTTATCATTAGTTAAATTCAAGATGCACTTTTGTCTTGATGCTAATACAATCTGTGCAGTTTAAAACATGGTAAGTCAAATTGTTTTATTCAGATTAATAATAATTACTGTTGCTTACTGATTTATTTTGTTGTGATTTGTGGCTTTATATATCAATTATTTGATAATTCTAGACATGGTTTACAACTTTGGAACTAGAAAGTCAAGAGTAAGCCACAAGGCCAATAATAAAGTTACAGGTAAGAAATATGGTATGGTAAAATGTGTACAGATTTAGGCTTCTTTACGTAAAGATTTACTATTTTGTGGTCTGTCAGTGATCAGTTTGGTATCTCTAAAAGCAATTTATGGAGTGCATGTGAAAATATGTGGAAAGTCATTCTTAGGCTCTCTCCCCAATTCATTTGCTTTTCATCATTTTTGCCATATCTTACAGAAGTAAGATATGGCAAAAATTGCTCAGGTATTTCATGAAATATGTAGGCTTCCTGGGCCTAAATCTTAACTATTTTTGATTACATCAAAAGTTTGATATACACTAACAACAGAAGGCTTATGCTCCGTATTTGAAGTCATACAATATATAAATTTATGGAAGTTAGTATCTTAGGCAACATCAAACTACATATAATGTAAGCCTTCTATTGCTATTGGATACTGAACCTTTGATATTATTGGAAGTACAATAGTTATATTTTCTAAGAAGATATTACTGAGCTAGTTTTAGGCTGGGTGGAAGCTCCAATTGCCACAAAGTTCAAGAAATACATTACTTTCATCATGTGATATATTGATGATGTGTTAATAATTTAGGACAAAGTACAGGATTTCTTAAAGGCTGTGAATACTAACTCTAAAAGAGTCGCACTTGCTTTAACAGAAAGCAGTTACACTAACATCAACTTTTTAGATGACAGTATACAAAAATGATGGTTGTAAGTCTACTCAGTTTCCTTACAAGATAACAGTGTAATGTAACTATGAGTACATTGGAGTGACTTATATATCTTTGAGTACTAGAATCAAGGAACATCAAGACACTATTAGGAAGTGCCTATGTACTGTACAATTGCCATGTGGCCTTTGCCTGTGACAGTGATGTGGGTGTTTTCTTCAATAGAGCACACCTACTATATTGCTCTTCAGCTGACGTGACTCAAATATTTGGAAACTCTTGAAATTTATAAAGCTAGTAGGAAAAGGATGACAATTAACTTTTAAAGATTCTGCAGTTATGTAACATGCTTGGAGAGCATTATTTGAAGTTTGTTTATCATCATTTTGTTATATTTATATTTAAGTTTTTACTCTCAACATTTGTATATATTATGGTATTTATTTATTATTTATTCCTATTTTCTATGTTTTATTTAATATATTTTATGCTCCTGTGAATTTGATTCATTATGTAAATTTGTAATTTTCAAATGTTTTTAATTTCAAATATGCTTCCTGTTCCATTTATTCCATCATAGAACCTGAAGACTTATTCCACATTGTTTATTAATGGAACGAACGTTTTTGACACACTATTTTTACAGGATTTAAGGTTTTTTGATATTAAGTTTTTAATATCAAAAATAACTTAATATCATCAATAATAATTTTACAAGTTCAAATTTTAACAACATTCAGAATTAAGAATCCAAATAGATTACAGCATTCAAGCTTATTTTATCAATCATGTAACTTGTCATACCAATGAAATCATTCCAACATTCATTTACATCCATTCCTTTATTTAAATTTATCAGATTTTTATATTTCATCATCATAAAATGTTGTTCTACTTTCCCTTTCACAATATTATTTTCTTTACGTAACATATTATTATTATTGAAATTACAATTTGTATTTTTACATTGTAAATACCAGTTTGTTTACCTTTCAATCTGATCATATTTTCAAATTCCTTCACAAGAAAGGAAATTGAAAGTCTGAATTATCATTAGTTGTAAGTAATGAATTAAAATAAGCGAACTTTCAACTTTCTTCAAAATGTTAAATTAAATAATTGTAAAAATTTATTACTTATTGAAGTAAACTGAAGAGGGCTGTACTGAAAAATGCATATTTTTTTAGTAAGTTGTTATTCTACATATATAAAGTATTCTCAGTCTCTATAGCATTTGTAGCATAGGTTAAAAAGAGATCAGAGACTTCTGTCAGATAATCTCTAAAAACATTTTTTCTTTTTTTAAAAAAATAAGAAAGCCACCCTGTATAATTTATTACCTGATTTATTAACATTTTGTGTTTGAATTGTCAAAATAAGGAATTAAATCACCAAATCTCCATGTGTGTAGAATCTTGAAACAAACAACAATTAAATTATCAGTATAATATTAATTTCTGTATAAAATAATGTATTATACATTAATAAAGGAAATGAATGAAAATGAAATGTTTAAAACACTGCATGAATTTAGAAATTCACTTAACAAATGAAAATAAAAATGGCATGTCTGGCATTGATTTGATGCTCAAAGTAAAATACCTAAAAAGTTTGTATAAATTGAATTTTTCATTGACAATTCTTTTTCAAAAGGATATGTGAATTAGACAATGAAAATATCAATTTACTTTAACAACCTTCTACTGTAAATAAATCTAGCACATACAGGACAAGTGATATTGGATTACTGGACATCTGAGTTTCTGGTGAAAGAAATTGTAAGTCAGTGATGAAAGATCACTTCCTGCATGGAAAATCTTTTCAGATTAATTTGATAATAAGATGTTATTAATGCAATCCTTAAAATATTCTCTATATATTTAATAGTCAATTTTATTTAGTATTACATGTTCAGCATTAGTTTACAGATTTATTAGAGATACATTACTATTATATCCTTTTAAAATCTATTAAACCCATTTTTGTTGAACAAT